CCGAAAAAGGTTTGTTCGGGAATCTCGCCTGAAAAAGAAATTCATCTATCAAACGGTAGCGTGCCGATTGCACAGCGACGAAAAAGTTATCAAGGTGCGGAGACATTCGGACCGCTCTGTCCAATTTATAATGCTTAGCCCAGCGAATAAAGATACTTCGATTTGAAAGCCGAAACATCAGTCAGCGTCGAGGAAAAGGTTTGTTCGTGCGTCTTGCCTGAAAACGAATTGATCTATCGAACGAGCGTGCCGATAGCTCGGCGACAGAAAAGTTGTGATGAAAAGACAGCCAGACCGCTGACCTGTTTAGAATGCTTAGCCCAGCATCAGCGAATAAGGATACTTAGATTGGAAAGCCGAAACACCAGCTAGTGTTGCGGGCGAGGTTTGTTCATGTATACCGCTTAAAAACGAATTGACGTGCAATCAAACGACGATGTGCCGGTATCGGCGTAGCTTCCGTCTCGCTGCGAGACGGAACCGACGGAACCAGGGAATCTCTGACAAATTTGAGGATTTCCTGCGTCGACGAGCGGGTTCAAGAATGTTGTCTTTAATTTAAATGGGAACAGCATGCATGGTCAATAAATAGATCGGCCAGGTAACCTTCCACATATGTGCACGAAGCGAGTCTTCAAACCTTTCAGGAATATTAAAACGTTCGTAGAAACTTCATAACGTCGCCGTCTCTTTTGCTTTAGACTCTGCCGCTCCACACGGGCCTATATATTTATCTTCGAAATATTTTCGGCTTCTGAAACCCGTATCTACGGTCGGAAGGGGTTTGTGTGGCCCGTCTGTAGCCCCTCGATAGTTTCTGGCCGTTTTTAAGAACTTACTCGATCTAACTCTAGGGTAAAGGTGATTATCGAAAACCTACCCGCGTCCAGCGTTTCTCCATTTTTGTTGTCACGTGACACAATCTGCCAGGGTAACTCAGATCCATTCTAGTAGGTTTGAAACGCAGCCTTGGTGTGTCGCGCCATAGTCGCGCTCTTGTACGCTATGCGCCATTTAGTTGGTGCCCTTGGAGTATGAAACTCGGAGCGTCGGAGTAGGAGTAACGGAGCGCCGACTTAACGCGCCCATTGACTTCGCTGACGATTGCGCCTCACGTCGCACGCTGGAGTTGGCAGATTTCGGCGACTTGGCTGATTTGAAAGTTTGCTGGCCAGTTTATTAAACATATAGACGGAATTATATCGTAATATTTGACATGGGGTCTTCCTACATGATACTGAAGAGGGCTACATAGTTTTCTAAATATCAAAAATGAAGCGGAGTTGCCCTTTAACGATACCTGACTGTACTGTGTGTTTAAACAAGAAATTATGTCTGCTGTCGTAGTACACCATTTCGATAAAAAGGGTATTCCCTTGGGCTAGTCGGTTGTACACAACGTTACTGGAGCAAGCTCAGTTTCGCAGCTCCCTATTCTCGTTGCAGAGGCGAGTGGCTCAGGTGGCGTTCACAAGAACTAGCGGCGCTGCAGTCGGATCTTGCTTGCCTGTCTCGTACGTCGTCTACTATACTCCGTTTCACCTTATATTGTACCGCAGCGAAGGCTAAAAGCGCGAGCTCATAGCGTTGGCAGCTGCCCTTGGAGCACGAGAGCTTGTGCCGCCGAGACGTGCCCTAGAGCAAGGAGCTCGCGCTTGTAGCCTTTCGTGCGTTACAACAGAAGATGAAGCAGAGTATACCACAGCGTTGAGAGCTTCCTTTTCTTTTTCTATTCTTTCTTTTTTCTACTTCCATGTGTATATTAGCAAAAAAAGGTGATAAAGATGAAGTGTAATACACCACAAAGATCAGAGTCAGCGCATTGTGAGTGTTCTTTCTTTGAGTGTTTGAAATTTATTTTTGTGTGCGTCTGTTTCCTTGCGCTGTGAAGTGTTAGTATGAATTTCCAACTCGCCCAAGCTCAAGTATTGCTATTTTAAGCTTTGCGGGCTAGACAATCCGGAAGTAATACGCGTGCCCCACGGGCAACTTGAATGTCATTTACAACGAATGACATTTGAACGATCGACCAGTCAGCGCGCGACACTCCAAGCGTGGGGCATTCCACGCGCGACAGTTCACGAGCCGATTCGTTGATCACACGAATGTCATTCGTTGTAAATGGAATTTGAGTTGCCCGTGTGGCACGGGTATAAGACTCGACTGCAGCGCTGCTAGTTCTCGTGACCGCCACTGAGCCCACGTCGCAGGCGGAGCTGTGTAACTGAGCTTGCTCCAGTAACGTTGGTTGTACATTTCAAGATTAAAAGCGCTTTGTTTCTTGCTAGCACAAGCTAAAAAGATTATATGTAGACTGTTGGACATTGTGTTATCATGACGTGAATGCTTGTTGATAAGGCATATATGTTTCTTCTTTGGTTTAAGTCAGATTAAACCTCAGATGCAAGTGAGTTCTATTGTGTGTGTTCCTTTTTTTAGTGGTTCTCGTTTTTTTTTTTTGTGCTTTCAATCTTGAAACATCATTTCGACTTATTACAGGCACAGTGAGAAGGAAGGTACTCACCATTTTATCGCCCCATCATTTGTTTAGCCCTTCTTTCATTTTTTGGCGATGGGGCAAGCGACGAAGTGTATGCGGAGAGCAAGTTTGTCTGCTTCTTGCACAGGGGTTGCGATGATGTCAGAACGCCGAGCTCTTATTGTTCGATTAAAAAAAATTTAGGATGGACCTCAAGGCATTGAGGTCTACCCACTATTCTTCCAATCAAAGCCAATCAGAGGTTGGCGTCGTTTTGACGCCACCGCAACTCCTACGCAAGAAGCAGACGGCTTGCTCTCCGTATTGCGTCTCCCCACTAGAGAGGGCGAGAAAATTCGAATCCTGGTTTTGGCAAAATCTTCATTTGCAGTTTTTTTTTTCTATGGCCATTTTGAATTTAGAGATGAGAAATAGCCCACCGGAAAGAGTATAATGGGTATTGTAAAAATGGGTGTAATTTGAGTAGCTCGAACTTTCAACCTTCGGCGACCCGTTTGAGGTTCATCTTCGCACGCCCAATAAAAACGCCATGTTACGCAAAGGGCACACGCTGGAGGCGGAACCTCGGCAACAACGTTGTAATGGTTGCAAAAACCCCGAGACTGCGGGTAAACGATAAAACACTAAAAAGTCTCTAGAAAGTCTTCTAGATACTTTTTAGTGTTGTGTCATTTACCCGCAATCTCGGTTTTTTTTAACCTTGTGCAATGTACACCAGCTCATTTGCGCCCTTACATGTTGTTCATAAGGTGGTAATAGTGGTAACTTGGGCTGGCGGAATTTCTGGCCAATTCGTAACTTGTATCTGAGTATAGCGGTTTTCCTGCCGCCTCCAAAAAAGCTTGGAAGACGAAATTTGAACCATGATGTGAACCATTCAACAGGGAAACGGGCTTGGCTGTGGACACCGTCACCCACCTACTGCCACTCTGACCCATCACGTTCACAACGTGCTTGGGGAAGAGTGAACTACTCCTCGAGTGCCAGGCAGGGTGTTTCCTCCACAATGACGATTTTCGCTTTTGTTTATTTCTCTCTTTCTCATGCTGTAATAATACAACCTTTCCAAAAGTGCGCGCCATCTGGGATTTTCTGCGCCAAATATAAGAGTTCGCTATTGTTTGGGCATGTAATCTGAGCGTGTTTTGGGCGCGAGGGCTGCGTTACCGTTCGGCGTGAACTCGGCTCGGATCGAGAACGAGCGCTGTGTCACGGTTTGGCGAGAACTCGGATCAAATCGCACGCTTCGTGCCAAGAAAATGGCTACCGCCATCGTTGCTTGACGAGGTTTCGAAAAACTGAATATTGTGTCCTTTTAACTTCGTCCCCTTGAATTCGAAAGCCTTCAAAGTGACTTTGACATTGTTTATGCAGATATTACTCCCGGGCCGTAAGAATTTTGCCAGTAACACAAGAAAAAGCTACAATTATCTTTCTACAATTTAGAATATCACAAGGTGAGGCTATCGAAGCAATTTAAGGACCGTTCACACACTTGTGTTTGCTTAAGACCGAGTTCTGTTGACGAGAGAACTCTAGAGAGCCCAGGTTAAAACAGGGTCCATTTTAATCCATGCGGAGTGTTTGCAATTTGATGGTGGATGCTTTCTGCGTAGATGGGTCGCAAGTCCGCATGGGCTGTGTTTTCGCGTGGCGAGGAGGAATGCAGGCGGAGAAGTTCGCAGACGATCAACGCTTTCGACACCTCCTCGCAGCTCGTATTGCAAATAGGCTCTCTAGAGAACAAGCTGGCGCCATCTGTGAGATGATCCTGGAGCTGCATTTCACTAGAGCGAAGCTTTTCGCGGTATTTTCGAGATCAAATGTACTCACTATCTATGAGGATGGGTCGTTCGTATATTGCGCTCTGAAAAGCTTTTTTTTTTTTTTTTTTGCGAGACAAGAAAGAAAAAATGATGCGCAAAAGCAATTATAATTAAATATATAAAAAAAATGCCAAAACGTTCCACGGCTGCCCAATAGCTGCGGCCAATGGGTTCTCTGGTCGTAAGAGATCACAAGAGGTCGCAAGCAGTCAAAAGTGTGTGAATCAGCTTTTAGGAGAACGGGTGCTCTTCTTTTTTTTTTTTGTGTGTCAGAGATTTGTAAAAGTATAAATTTATTTACAGACACGAGCCGGGGGTAAAGCATGTATAAACTTTGTGCTACTTTATTACCCGTTTTCTTTTTTTACACCTTTTTTTATTACTTTTATGCCGTCCTCTGAAGACACTTTCATCCCGGTTTATGGGATCGCTGCCATGCGTCTCCTTTGTTCCCCTTAGTTCTACTGCTTTCGTTTATATCTCTTACTTCTTTTATTCCTCCTTTATATCTTTACTTTCCTCTTGCGATTCATTTTCATCTTCTTCATCCTCTTCGTCTTTCTCTTCATCTTCACAGTCCTCAGGATTGTCTTCCTCAGAATCGTCTTCCTCAGAGCCGTCGTCATCATCACCCTTTTCCTCTTCACTTGCATATCCGCATTCCTCAGGTTTCATCAGGGTGGGACTTTGCAGCCCTGCTCAATAGGTTTCGATTGACACCACTCCGGAACGACGTCACCTCCGCCCATTACCAGGACCCAGTATGAGCAGTCTGAAACGAATCAATTAGCTTTACACCTGTCACGGTCGGTTTCCCTTCGTATTTTCAAACAGCACCGCATGTTATTACTAGAGTGTGGTGCTAGTGTCATCAAAACCGAGATACAGTTCGCCGTGTCGCTTGGCATGTCCCGCGTTACATACAAAGCGAGGGTGACGACGGCGGCTTCTGCGTCTGCTCGGAAGGTGGCACAGTGGCATTCTCTCCAAGGCGCCGCTTATACTTGCGTACCGTGGCATACAGGGAGTCCTTTACCGCTAAATTTGTTGTAACGCCCCAGGGATAATTTTTTTTTAAAATATCGTTAACTGGGGACCGGACGTACCCACATTGAACATTTATGATAATCTCATTAATAAATATTGGCTGCACCGCGCACGTTGTCTGTGTGTATACTCAGACAGCTCACGAAGCGCAGGGTACGGTTTATATGTTTACGCTTCGTGCTTTGTGATTGGCCCCTAGGCATTTTTATCGGATAATGCCGCAATCTGATTGACTGCGAGCCGATAATAAGATGCATGGAAATTGCCACGCTCTGCGCTTCTTACGCTGTCAGTAACACTTATTGCATGCTTTGTTTTTTAATGTTATAATGACTAACGAAAACGGCTATACCCCGTTTCACGAAAACTTGGCGAACTTTGGAGGCTGCGGCCCCCGCGACCCAATAGGGGCGCTGGAGCAATGCACGTGATAACACTTAATAATCGAGGCCACCAAATCCTCCTTACCGCCACAGCAAATGAGCCCTCCGCGACAAAAAGTAGTCCTAGGTTTCTTTTTCTTTTAACTGCAATCTAACTCGTGCTATTCAATCTATAACGAGAGGATATAAAGAATAAGAATAAACAATCACAAATTTATGAGTTTTAATTATATTTGAACCAAAAACGTGATGCCACGTCCGTATCAGCTCGATTTTTTTCGCCTTGTAGCGCCTTGGCCCTTGGCGATCACCGGCGATCGCAGCCGTGTATGTCCTGTTAGGCTTTGCTGAAGAAGAGGAGAACGACGGGAGGGTTTTGAGAATATAGAATAAACATGGCGTTTAGACAGGAGCCTACCGGGAGCGCTCTGTGTCATTAACAGCCAACAACACATGGTGTCAAAAGTTCAAGGATCCAGGACCTGAGAGGAACGGTGAGCAATGGCTAACGCCAACTCATTCCAGTGCCAACCTCCTGCGGAATTCGATTTCACCAGCCCCGATGAATGACCTCATTGGAAGCGGCGATTCGAACGTTTCCGCGTCATCAGTGGTCCATCAGAAAAACCTGAGCCTGAGCAGGTCAACGGTCTTATCTACTTTATAAGCGACAAAGCAGACGACATCCTTCTCTCGTTTAACCTGCCTCCAGCAAAGATGGAGAAGTACGAAGAAGTCCTTTCAGCTTTCGAGCGACACCTCGCAGTCCGATGAAACGTCATCTACGAGAGAGCGAAGTTCCACAAAAGAAGTCAGCGGGAAGGCGAGGGCACGGAAGAATTTATAACAGAACTTCATAGCCTCGCCAAGACTTGCGACTTCAGCGTCCTACACGAGGAGATGATTCGAGATCGCATTGACGTCGGGGTCCTCAACCAAAAACTGTCGGTGAAAATGCAACTAGATTCGGAATTGACACTCGAGAAGGCTACAAATCTGGCTCGAAAGTCAGAAGCTGTCAAGAAAGAGAAAGTTGCTCTCCACGAGTCCCCAGAAGAAAATGTTGACAGAATCTTCATAAAAGAAGCAAGTCAACAGGGAGGAAAGCAAAGAAATGGAGAAAAGAAAACTTCTCGATAGAGTTTACCAACATCCGAGAAAGTCTGTTCAAGATGTGGCAATGAACGACATAAAACGAACAAGTGCCCTGCGATAAAAGCTACATGCAACGAATTCAGAAGACAGGGGCACTACGCACGGGTTTGCAGAAGCTCTACCACCCTGAGGGAGGTAACAACGTCTGAGACGGCATTTCTTGACACCGTGTTCACGTCAGATGGACAGCAATGGATAGTCAAGGTTCAAGTCCGAGAAGTCTCCATAACATTCAAAGTCGACACGGGGGCCGACGTCACCGTGATTCCTTAGAAGATGTACAAAGGACTCTTCAGTGATGTCTCTCTACAGAATCCCAAGAAAGTCCTCAAGAGTCCAAGTAAGAAATCCTTGACAGTTCTTGGTGTCATGAACGAGACCCTTTACTACAGGGACAAAACATTCATGACCGACATCTACATCGTAGAAGACCTGAAACAGCCACTTCTCTCAAGAGATGCAAAGGAACGATTAGGCATCGTACAGCGCCTTGATCAAGTTGGGGCCGTCCGAAGCTGCACTGTCGAACCAAAGAGAGAATACCCGAAGTTATTTTCTGGGTTGGGTCACGTCAAGATTCCGTACAAGATCAAACTGAGACCTGACGCTGTACCTTTCGCAATGATGACACCTCGAAGAGTGGCCATTCCTCTTCTCGGCAAGACCAAGACGAAGCTCGAAGAAATGGTAAAGATGGGAATAATCGAGCCAATCGAGGAGCCGACTGAATGGTGCTCTGGAATGGTGATCGTGAGAAAACCCAACGGAGAGGCCCGGATTTGCGTTGATCTAACGGACCTCAACAAGTTCGCCGAAAGGGAAGTTCACCCACTACCTGTAGGAGAACACGTTTTTGGGCAGCTCACCGGAGCACGCTATTTTTCTAAGATCGACGCCAATTCTGGGTTTTGGTAATTTGAGCTTACTGAGGAGTCCCAAGCTCTAACGACTTTCATCACACCCTTCGGAAGGTTTAAATTCAAGAGACTACCGTTTTGAATATCATCGGCTCCAGAATTTTTCCAAAAGAAGATGTCGCAGTTTCTGAACGGTCTCGAAGGTGTTGTATGCAATATGGAGTACGTTCTCATTTATGCCAGCTCCCAACAAGAGCATGATGACAGACTCCGTCTGATTCTGGAACGTCTCCGGGCGAAAGGAATGACTGAATCCGGACAAGTGCGAATTTAACGTACAAAGAGTGAAGTTCCTGGGTCACATCATCGACCGCGAAGGAATTCGTCCAGACAGCGCCAAAATGGAGGCTATTGTTGACATGAAGCCTCCCTCAAGTGTTTATGAACTGAGATGTTTTCTGGGCATGGTCAAGTATTTGACAAAGTTCATACCGAACATCTCACATAACGCCTACCCACTCGTTTCTCTTCTGAGCTCAAAGAACCAATGAGTTTGGGCTACGGAACAGCAGAGAAGCTTCGATCAACTCAAGCACGCACTCACCACGAGTCCCGTACATACGCTGTTCGACCCAGAAAAGAAGACAGTGATTTCAGCCGATGCTTCATCATATGGCTTGGGGGCTGTGCTTCGGCAGATTCAAAAAGACGGACCCTACAAACCTTTGGCGTACGCGTCACGGACACTCACAGAGACAGAAAAAAGGTACGCACAGGTGGAGAAGCAAGGCCTAGCGGTAGTTTGGGCATGTGAAAGGTTTCAAGATTTCCATCACGGGCCTTCAAATTGAAATTGAAACCGACCACAAGCTGCTTGTGCCAATCTTTATGTCTAAAAATCTAGCTGACATCACACCTAGACTTCAAATAATGAAGATGAGAATGATGAGATTCTCCTATGTGATGAAACACACTCCAGGAAAGTCTTTAATTGTGGCGGACACACTGTCCCGACAGCTTCTAAGCGAAACTGGTGACAGGGATCTGGAGCAAGAGGTGGCTGCATATATCAAGGGGGTGACAGCTGACCTTCCCGCGACAGAAAAGAGGTTACAAGAAATCAAAGATAAGCAGGCCACGGACTCTACACGCAAACAGTTGGCGTGGTACAGCGAAAGAGGGTGGCCCATCCGAAAAGAAGTCCCTAACAGCTGCAAAGATTTTTGGCAACATCAATCAGAGATTGCCGTTCAAGATCGACTGCTCATGAGAGGGTCAAGACTCATCATACCGCTGTCCATGCGTCCTGTTATTCTGCTGAAGACCCACCAGGGTCATCAAGAAATCACCAAGTGCAGAGCTCGAGCCAAAGACTCTGTATGGTGGCCAGGACTTTCAACACCGATCGAAAGTATGGTACGCAGATGTCCAGAATGCATCAAGGAAGCGTCCAACCGCCATGAACCTTTGATGCCATCCGACTTTCCAGAGCGTCCATGGCAGAAAGTAGCAATGGATCTGTTCTACCTGTCGGGAAAGAACTATCTTCTAGTAACTGACTATTACTCGAGATATCCAGAAATTGCCCTTCTGAATACTATGACATCAAACGGTGTAATAATACACCTAAAGTCAATTTTTGCAAGACATGGGACGCCTGAAGTTGTATTCAGCGACAATGAACCACAGTTCCAGCGAATTATTGGAAGTGCATTTCAGCAGTTCGCCCAGGAATGGGGTTTTGAACACAGGACGTCCAGTTCAAGATATCCACAGAGCAATGGATTTGTTGAAGTTGCTGTTAGAATTATTAAGAGAAGCCTTAAGAAGACATCTGACAGCTACATCGCATTGCAGTCCTACCGTGCAACACCATTGAGAAATGGATATAGTCCCGCCGAATTACTCATGGGTCGCCAAGCTGAGAACGTCCCTTCCATCTGTTTCCTCTTCTTTGGAACATAGGCTTGTGAATACCAAAGAACTCCAACGGTGGTAAAGAAAAAAAAACAAATCAACAAAAGGCCAACTACAACAGACGACGGGGTGTACGACAACGCAAACCATTGAGAAGAGGAGATCTGGTCTGGATTACCGATCAGCGAAAAAGAGGGACAGTGCAATCTGCAACGAAGTACCCAAGGTCATACTTAGTGGACACCGATTCAGATACTCTTCGCAGAAACAGCTTTCATCTTACACCGATGCCTGGGAGGGAAGACACCGATAAAAGTGCAGCACCAGACATCGGATCGACTGCTCTTACACCGGTGCCTGGGAGTGAAGACACCGATAAAAGTGCAGCACCAGACATCGGATCGACTGAGTACACGACACGAAGTGGAAGAGTTGTAAAACCTGTAAATGGACTTCAGTTTTAAAGGGGGGAGATGTGCTGTTAGGCTTTGCTGAAGAAGAGGAGAACGACGGAGGGGTTTGAGACAGGAGGCTACCGGGAGCGCTCTGTGTCTTTAACAGCCAACAACACAGTGTAATCGGCAGTTTCCGCTCCAGATATCGCACTGTGCTCTGGCAGTAGCACCCGTCACAGATTCACGGCTAAATTGAGCGTATGGTTGTGTCATGAACTGTTCCCGAAGTGCTCGCTATTCAAGCGGACGGAAATGCTGCTGCGGTGAACGTACATCTGAAGTTCGTTGGTTTCGGCGCAGACGACTCCTGGCTTGCTGACGACAGCCGGTTCTTCCAGGCCTCCCGGTTCGCATTTGGCATGGTGACAAAATTCTCCTTGACGTCGGGTTACGTGCCTCGCTCCAACGCTCTTATTGGGTCGCGGGGCCCTAGCCTAAACAGTTCGCCAAGTTATTGTGAAACAGAGTATTGCAAATGAGTTTATAATAGAATGTTAAGTTGGGCTAGTTGGTTGTTTATGACTGGAAGGAAGCGCCGAAAGACGGGGACAAAAGAAGTAGGTAACGACGACACGTGGCGCTTGCAACGGAAGGTTTATTGAAAAATACAAAGACTTAAATACTATGACAAACCACTTCATTTCCTGCTACCCCACTCTCTCTCTAAAAATAGAATCTCCTCATCTAACAATGCCACAGACAGCTCGCTGATGCACTTTATAATAGACCACACAAAAAACTCTTCACACGAGACATTTCTTTAAGTGGTGTTAAGACTAAAAGCTTTCAGCCTTTCCACTCTGGTGAAGAAGGAAGAGCAGCGGAGCAGTAGCTTCTTTTTCCGGCGGTGGCTTTCCAGGCGACCGATCTGCTCCTCTTTCGCAAGAGAACCTGAAGCGCTCGACGCACGCGGCTGTTGCGGACCCATTCGCGCTGCTGCGTACGTCGCCGCTCCTTCCGCACCCCGGTCTTCTTTCCCGAAAAAAAGGCACGCGGCCGACTTATCGTGAGTCCAAACCAAAATTGTTAAGAGAGTAGAAAACAGCATGGAAAACAGACGAGGACGAAAAAGAAACACATGTGACGTGCGCTGCGCTCGTCACGTGTGTTTCTACTTCGTCCTCGTCTGTTTTTCGCGCTGTTTCCTACGATGAATAGACCGATCTCGCCAAACGTTCCACGCATGCGTGACGCCGCCATAACTGTAGTTCGTAGGAGGCAGACGCCAGTTCACGAGATAGCTCATGCCGCCTCGTGCTCTGCTCGCGCAGACCTCCAGCAGGGTTGTCGCGCGTGCAGAAAGACTACAGCTCCCACGATGCATGTCGGCAGCAGTGGCGTACTCAAACTAGCTCGTGAGATCGGTCTATCCACCAACCCGCCCAGCTATCCAATCCTCTTTGGTAGCTAGAAAGGCTGCCGCCATCTATGAGCGACGGAGGCAATCAGACTGGTTGCCTGGTTTCCGCCTTCGCTTATACATGGCGGTAGCTGTCCAGAAGTTCATGTAGGTTTGGGTCGATATTTCTTTGCTACCGGATACGATCCTGGGGAACCTAGTCCTTAACAGCTCCGCTGTAAAAGTTATACTTTTAGAGTTTTCCTCTCTTACTCGAACTTGTGTTCCACTAAGAAAACTTTCACTGGCAATATGAATATACTTTTTAAGCCGCTGTGTGTGGACGCCTTCATTTTATATATAATTTAGGTCATAATGTTGAACGCAACAAGGGTTACCATCGAATCCAAACCTGCTAAATTTCCGTCAAAGAGGTTAGGTTCTGGGTTTTAAAAAATATTTAGACGCAAAAACATACTTTTACGGCCATTCGTGTTTTTTTTTTTTTTTTTTTTTTGTGTGTTGGGTTTGATCGAGAAGATTGAGAGCCGGTGTTTCCGCTTGCATAGGAAGCCATGCAGAATGCTCAAAATCAGTAATAATATGACGCTACACAGTGGTGGGGATGGAAGACGAGTTTGAGAATATAACACCACATAAATAAAAACTAAAAATGTTATCAATGAGCCGATATCCTTCTAAGTCTTATCTCGCAAAACAAAGACAAAATGGCATTAAGGGCGCCAGTGCCATTTATTTCAATGAAACAAACTTGTCAGGAGGGAAGAAATCAATGTATTCTTAATGACAAGTTGGTTTTACTGAAATACATGCCTCAGGTTACCGCAATGTTATTTCTTTTTTTGTGTGTGTGTCTGTGAAATAGGAATTTCCTCGTTCTCTTATATCTTTTCATACAGGTAATGCTATGTTTTAAAAAAAAATTGCCATGTTATCCCCTCCACTTAGCGGCATATTATAATAATCTAATAATAATCTTTATTTTGTTGGGTGTCCAAAAACAGCACAAGGCCTAAATGCCATTTTAGGCCTTGTGCCTTAAATGGCATTTAGGGAATAAAGGGAATAAACAATGCCTTCTACAATGCATTGTTTATGTATACGACCCGAAAAATCGAGTTTTGTATTCTCGATCGGACCCTGTAGTTCGAAAAACCATATACAACTTTTTCTTATGAGAAATTAATCCTACCCTGCGAAATATCTAAATGAACGATGTGTGACGATCGCCCAAGTCTCAAAGCTTTCCTTCAGTATTTTTTAAGCGATACACTCGGCAAAGAAACCTTTGCCAAAAATAGGGGTTTCAGTTTCGTTCTCTTCAAGAATTGGCCAAGCATTTATTTCAAGTTATTTTAGCCACCAGGTTTTGCACAGTTTCGAATGAAAATTCTCCTATACAATTATAATGAAGCTGACTGCCTTACTTGATTGTCCCTTTGAAGTTTGTAGTGTGCTGCAATAGGTGCTATCTTGATTTTTTACATTCAGGAGTTCATATTGGACTGTCCTGTCCATGAGCCCTGAAACAACAACACACATGTAGATAGGTTTAAAGAAAGGCGAAGACAAACATTATGGTGGTTGAAACCAAGATCGCTTAAATCACGGTTCAAAGAACATTGATTTTACCACATTGGTTTAAATTAGATTTTTCCGGGAAAAATATTTCCGAAAGAATTATTTATTAAGATTTGGTGCGCCTTCCATTTGGCTCTTCCGATTAATATGTATTTGTTACTTACATAGAAGAATCATTAGATAAGATATATTCTTGCTAGGGTAGAGAAGGAAAAACAGCTAAAGTGATCACTCTCTGAGGTGAAAATAAATCAGTGTTGAGGTTGCCATCAGTGTTGTAGGAAACGCTGTCCCAAGGAACGGCGTTCCTGGAACGCGTTCGTTTTAGAAGGAACGAAGGAACGCCGCCGTTCCATTTTGCATCGGTGACACTGGAACGGGAAGGCGTTAAATTTTTTACTTGAACAAGAAAAACGAGGTTCCTTTTTTTTGTTTTGTCCGGTGAGGTAATTTTTTTAAATTTTATTTCAACGAGGGAAGTTCTAAATATACAGAAATAATATCTTTACGAAGGGCAGGATCTCGTGAACTTTTTGGTTACATATCTTGGGGTTTATTTTTTGTGGTCCCAACATAAAAGAGTCGGTGCAGAAAAGCTAGTAGACATCGAGTTTTTTTTTTTGTTTTTTTTGTTCTTCTGTTTTTTTTTGTTTTTTTTTTTTATTTTGTTTTAGTGCCCGAGACTACGGTACAAAAAGCAACTCTTAGTCGAAAGAAGACACCGAAAGAGGGACGTCTCAAACTCAGCTACCCTCTTTGCTTCCACGAATCCTCATACATCTAGAAATCTAAGGCCGCCTACAACCATCATACCTCCACAAAAAGACAAAAAGTTATGACAGAAGAGCAGGTTACCAGACCTAGAACGCACCCTTGTATCCCGACCATTAGTCACTTAAAAGATACAGAAATATTAACGTTTATTCATTTTGTCCTTGTACCCCACATTCCAACTGAACAACGAATTCAACCCTCGCAAAGATGGACTCGTAGTTTTTAAGACTGACCTTTCAAAAGCCCACATCCCCTAACTTGCTCGTCTTGCGGACAGCAACATCGAGAAGCAACGGTTGTTTAAGTTCTAACAAGCGACTTTGCTAGATTGAGACGTGTCAGGTTGTTGTAAAACGCTCGTGCAATGTGGGGTAACGGTACATTTTGCTCGTCTCGATCGTTCCCCCAAACATAAATTTGGGTAAACGATTCGATTTTTAAAGGTGAATATATAACAAAAACTTGCTTCCGCTTGTTTTTTTATCCCTAGCAGTGTTTTTTTTTTTTTTTTATTGCGGAGTACAAAGCTGTATGCTCCCATTTGGTAGAATGAATATAAAAAAAAAACTAATAAAAACTTCCCTCGATTTATCGAAGTATGGTAATCATCAAAATACAAATATAACGTATATGAAACGATACGTTCCATTTTTTTTTTTACTGTAACGGGAACGTGTTCCTTTTTCACATATGAAACTTGTAATGAGAACGCGTTCCAAAAATCAGTAGGAACGAGGAACGATCGTTCGTTCCTTTTTTTTTTTTTTTGAGGAACGTGTGCAACACTGGTTGCCACTTCACTTTGCTCTTACCTAAATCAAACTCAACACTCAATATTATTTTGTGTTTCAAACTAAATAATATAAGTAAAAGGTGACAAAAAAAGTGTTCGGCGATCTCTCGAACCCTCCCTTCTAGCCCCATCAACAGGTATAGCATTGATCGGCTAGCCACATTACTCTTGAAATTTCTTTATAGCTTGCCTATGCAAAAAAAAATAAAAAATTTTGGACAACCTTTTTTTGGTGATGGAGCCAAAACTATGGGAGTCGTGCGCTCGCACACATTTAGCGCCCATCACAGTTGTGCTCCCGCAGTCTTCACTTCTCCAGAAATTCCAGAAACATTTGTCCCCGATCAACGCTTGGTACGCTTGAGCGTGCGGTGTTCGCATAAGGCCCTGTTAGGGTTTTTTTTTACTTACACCAGGCATTGACGCTTTTTTATTTAACTGGTAGGCAGCACTTAAAGCGGTGATGAAACGATTTTTCTACTTTCGCTAAATACTACTAAGATTCACTCCCTAACGCTAATAACCAAATCAACTTGTCTTAATCCTGTTTTTTTTTAGGCAGTGGCAGTTTATAAGACAATTCGACAAATATGAGCATCGTTCATCCCCTCAGCTGGGAGCCAGAACAAGCGGCCATGTGCACTGGTATCCTATGGCAACATCGTTAAAGGGGCGGTGCAACGGTATTCAATTGGAATGTTTTTCACTTTACACGACCTTACTGGCACTAATGGGTACTCAAGGATACTAGCACACGAGGAAAATTGGTTAAAGAAACTTCTTTGTTGCTACGTAATTTCAAGGACAATAGCGAACATTTTGATTCAATCTCTCCTTAGCAAAACTTGATGACGTAGCTCAGCGGTTGCAGTACCGCCCAGTGACGATATTTTACTGCCGCTCATAGATAGGACCCGGGCATTGCGTGGGCATTCGATTTGCGCTCGTGATAATCGATAGCTTGAGAAGCATTCGGGTAGATGCCCGTGTCCAATCGCTGCAGTGACGGCAATAGCCGAACCATAACAATGTCTTGAACTCAGAGCGTGTCTTGCGTTTTGCCAACCCCAGCGCGTGGCTATGATCAACATTGGCGGTATATAATCGTCTTCAGATCACGTGGCTGCTAGTTCTGGCTGCGAGCTGAGAGGGTTAACGCCACTCCATTTTCTTTAATTTTTTCTGCGACTTGGATTGCGTGTGGTGAAAAACGAACAGGTGTTTCACAGGTCATTAACGTCAGGGATCCGTTCTAAGCGGCATTTAAGCAAAGTACAAAATTCGTCGCATCGCCACTTTCATCATAGCCACGCGTTGGGGTTGGCAAAATAGAAAACGGGTGCTGAGCTCCGGTCATTGTTAGGGTTCGGTTATTTTCATCACAGCCAGTAGCCGAGTGTCCTCCGAGGCATTGATTATTACGAGCCGAAAAGGAGTGCTCACGCAGTTCTCGTGTCCAATCCATGAGTCGCGCTCGACTGCCGACCAGGCGGATGGTTTCGGTCCCACAATTACGTCATCAAGCTTTGCGATGGCAAAACTGAAAGAAGTTGCCCCCTTTTATCCTCGCAATTTCACCGCGACAAAGAAGCTCCTTAATCAGTGGCGGTTTGTGCGAGCATACGTGGGCCAGACTAGGACCAGTACGCCTCTGCAAACTCATAAACATTCCAACTTGATATCGTTTCACGAACCCTTTAAGAAGGAACGTTTGTGACATCGTTGTGGCGTCGGCTATCCTCGGAGATACTCGTAGAACAGAAGCAGTTTTCACAAAAGGTTTGTCTTTATCTCAAATAAATTAGGGTGGTTTCATTTGAAATCGAACACGCTTGTCGGGGTGGGTCTTTAGATTTTTTTTTTTTAAATATATGTAATTGCCCTATTTCTGGAAAGAACAAAACCGCTTTCCAAAATTTTTTAAAAAAATATTTCGCTTCACAAAAAATTATTGAGTGGAGAAGAGTGAAAATCTGTTTTTTACTCCGTGATTTTTCTACCCAGTTCTGTACGCTGGTATGAATACGCGAAGCATACAAAACTCACAGTAATTTTTTGTGCTCTTGTATGTTATTTGGACTATTTTTTAGTTTAAAGGAAAATACTTTTGTAGTTTTGTTTATTGAGGTAAAAAATGCCAAACATCGTCTCTTTGACCATCCGGTGACGTCTTCAGAGCCTTGTAACTCATGAGTTATTATATTTGTCACTTATTAAATACTATGCGGGTGTAGCCCTATACATGGGCTATCGACGGGAATAAGTTTTGTTTATTTTATTTTCACTGAAATTTTTATATAAAATTTGAAATATCGTCGAAAATGAAATCAATTGATATTTTGAACTCACTTTATCAAAAAAGGCCATTTTTTATTTCGTTAAATTTTTTTATTATTGCTGCCGCTCATATGAACTTTCAATTGGCTTGATGCGATTTCCCCCTTTTCTTGTTGTATCTTCTCAAGAAGTGATCGAAATCGCTCCCACGTTCTCTGAACGGCCAACCGCAGTTTCCGCAGGTCGGCTTCGCTGCAAAGACTCTACTGCTTATTTGTGTGTTCAAATGCCGCGGGTAAATTCATTTCGATTGAGAACACTCGTGCTTGGCTACATTGTATTTTATTAATTTTTAATGATGGCAACTGACATTCCTTAGCCTGATATTTAGCGGTGCAGCGGATGTTCCATTATCCGATGTGTAAAGCCAGGGCACAAAGGGCGGAGAAAACGGAACGAGCTCTTCATGTAGCCAGACCGGAGTCATATACCTGTACAATCTTTGCATTAAGCTCGGTGCGACAAAGTGGAGAAACTAAAAGTCTACAGAGACATCAAGTGACTGCTTTCGCTGCCTTCTGTGCATGTGGGAATCCTTGCTTCTTGGCATCAGAGATATCGATCAGTCTTGAACAAAACCCAACACTTTTATTTTTAACTGCACACACTCATTCAAACAGAAGGGCCACCGTCTCAGGTTCTCGCTTTGGCTCCAGTTTTCGTTCTGTTCGTCTCGACTTACCACGCTGTTGAACTTCTCGGGTGCATCCGACCGCTGCGGTACAAAGTTCAGCTCGCCCCCGCGCTCGATCGTCTCCACAGGTAAGCCAATGCCGTTGTCAAAAAGTTCCAATATTGCGTTGCTCGTGAACTGGACTATTTAAAGCACAACAACATATTGTTTTACAAGTGCATCCTAAATATATTAGCGTTAATTAATAAAAGTGACTATTTATCGCCAATTGGTGTTTGTGTTCTGTAAAAAATTGTCTTCGCTTCAAGTAAACTCAGTCCGTTTTCCTGACTTTTTTTCAGCAAACTGCTTTTTCTTCTTCAAGAGGGGCATGTGATATTACATATTTTTGATATACACGCTGA